CCGTCTCGAGTGGGTTCTGAAACTGCCCCTGCTAAAATGTGTTGCTGTGTTGGAGAGCTGGAGCCTTGGTCCCCCGGGAGCACGGGAGTGGGACTTCTCTGAGGACCAGTCGAGACCCTGGGTTTTCTCCTGGTGTGCTGTCCCGTTGTCTCATTTAGCTCTTTCTCCTCTCCAGAAAGGAAGATCATCAGCTGCACTTAATCTTGACATATGCTCCTTTTTAATTTGTTACGCTAGGATGAGAACTGGAGCAGCAAAGGAAATACGGTGCATACCGACAGTCAACGCGGAGAGTCAAATAAAACCGGGGCCTTTCAGTGTGTCGCTGGAGAGCAGGGGGATGAAGGGTTTCAGGTGTATTCAAAGCTCTGGGGCTTTCTAGTCTCTTGCACACCTGGGCTCCTTAAATGGGACGTGCAGATATATAGGGCACACAGCACAAACTGATATGTGCCTACAGCTGTCCTTACCCAGACAGCAGCTTTGCAGCATCTGAAATCTGTAACTCCAATCGCTGTGAAATCTGGTCTTCAGGCTTCATTGGCTTTTGGAGAAGATTAAATTCTTGCATCAAGCCAAGACTAAAACAGCATCTCCGTGATCGGGTTTTGTTTTAGTCCGGGTGAATCGTCTTCCCATGTGAAACTCCAGCACATTCAATGCTGGGAAGGCAGCTCTCCCACGTCGCTGGGTGGCCATGTTGCTGATGCCTCTTTCCCTGGTTAACCTTTGCAGGTCCTGGGTACAAAGTTGAGCATGTGTCACTGCAAAGTTTTGACGTTTGGCAGCTTGACAGCAAAAGTGTTGTGCCATAAACATGTTCAATCTGTGTCCTGCAGGCACTGCTTGAAAAATAACGACACAACATTTGTAAATGTTTCTAAGCCCAGGTGGGGTTTGGAAGGACGAGTTTTTGAAGGAGAACAACCCAATGTTTCCAGTTTAGGCAGGTGTCCAGCTCTGACACTTGGAGTATTCAGTCATTGACAAAAGTTATTCTTCTTAGATCATCATCCAAAAATCTATTATGGCATTTGACTCTTTAACATGATTTCAGATGACTGATACAGTGGAGTGACTTGCAGGCATTTTGAGGAGCATCTCAGCATCCTCTCTGTGCATCTGGAGGCAGCGCCAAAATGTTGCTGTTGGTGAGCCAGTAAATATTTCTGAACAGTGAAATGCAGAAGAAAGAGACTGGGAAGGCGGCGTTTCTCCAGGGACCATCTCACTGGCTCGTTTTTAGCCCCAGGTCAACTCAAGGCTGACTCAAGTCCTCGTTCGCAGTCTGGTTTGCTCACATGATTCTCATTAAATGGATGTGTTTAGGCTAAAAATGAGAAGATTTAGAAAGATGTTTTTTATCTGCTTTTATAGATGCCCCAGGTCATTAGCAGGAAGCTTTTAAATTTAACAGTCCTGTTTGCTTCTTGTCTGTCGGAGTGAGCTTGGAAAAGAAGGTGTTGGCTTCTCGTGGGCTTTGGTTTTGGTGTCTCATGCAGTAGCCTAGCAGTAGCTGGTTTTATTTTGGGGTTATAAATTCCATGTGACTTCCCCCCCTCTCCCCCCCCCGGTAAATTAACCAAATTAGTTCTGCTTTCTTAATGTGCCCTAGGAGCGTTTTAGGAGGAAAGAGGAGAAACCTTAAGGATTGGTCTCATGCTCTGTTTCTCTCCAGAGCGTGGCAATATCAGGTTGGCCGTATATGCCTGGGGAAGAGGGTTTCATAGGAAGGGGGTGAAGAAGATCAAACGAGGCGGGCGGGTGGCAGTGCGTTGGTGTTTGGGGTGTGCGGTGGGAAAGGGCTAGCAGCAGGCAGGGAGCGATGGGACGCTCTCCTTGGCATGCCTGCAGCTGGGCAGGCGTAGAGGTGGGCAGAGAGCTTGCAGAGAAGAGCGTGAACCACGTCTCACGTCTCCAGCCCGGGACTGTGCCAACAGGTCGTGGTTCTCGCATATTAGCTCATGGTTTTGCAATTATTCCCGTATTCTGAGCAAACATGTTTCCGTCCCCTGATGGTCATCAGGCAGCTGGCACCGAGTGGTGGATAGGCACAATTAGTGCTGTTTTGATTGAAAAATTTGGGTCATTTAGCAACGTTTCCCTTCCCTGCCTGGGTGAGTGAACTCAGACTTCTTGTGGTAAAAACACCCCTAACTTCACGCACAAAACCTGCTCTCTGACTGTTCTGCTGTATTTATTTAGAGAGGGAGGAAAGGCAGGGGTTTGTCTCCTCCTGCCCTTGCCAATAAACTCACCTGCTGGAATAGGTACCTACGTGCATGAATGACGTCATATTCCTACGTCAGTACACTGTTATTCATCTGAATGTCATATTCATGCATGGATATGACAGGGAGAGTCTGCACATCAGTGTTAAATCGTGTGAAAGTTAGACCAAATGTGTGTGAATAGTAGTTTGCAATATTATATTAATATGGTTATTACATGTTCAAATTAGTAGTAGTTTCCCATGGCTTTGATATCTCCCCACTTTGTTCATGAAGGCAAAACCTAGAAATTTTTTTTTTTTTTCGAAAGCAGGCTTAAATAAATGAAGACACAAACTTTCTGCCATGGAAGTATTGCGGACGCAGGTTTTATAGCGATTCCAGCCCCTCCACTCCAGTTATTCCAGCTGCACCAAAAGGGCAGGAAAACATGGATTTTCAGCGTGTATTCATCTTCGCTCCCCCTTCCACAGATCGTCCTGCAAACAGCAAAAAAAAATGCTAGGAATAACAAACTTCATTTGTTACCTCGCTGGTGTTAACGATGACTTGCCATAAGGAAAATAAATGAGCCAGCTTGTGCCTGGTGTGTGGTGGCAGAGCAGGTGCTCGTGGCTCACGGAGCAGATTCCAGGCCAGCGGCACAAAGGGCTTGGGTGCCAGTTTGCGTCTTCTCTGCTCTCGAAAGCAGCATTTTTGTTGTCAGGAGTTGCAAAAGAGCAGGTTTTATGGTTGTATTTCAGTGCAAAACTTTGCCATCTATTCAGTGCTTCCCTGCTTTACAGGAATATAGCATTTAATTGCTTTGCCAGAACTCGAAAGCTGAATTTCTTACAGCTGATAGATATTTGTAAAAACTGTGGATAACAAATTAGATTGTAATCTAATTTCATTAGGTTACAGCATGCACTTTAATACCTTTCCTCTGTGGCTTAAAGAGACATCAGGACTGATCCCAGGCGGCACAGAGCCCCTGTGCACGTGTCGTTTTTCAGCCGTACCCCCTTCAAGGGGGTGCACTGGGAGCCCCCTTCGGCCGCCTCGCCAAGCAGCGATGCTCGCTTGTGTGTGAGCTGCTGCTGCATCCGAAGCGGTGTGCTTGGCTGCCACCCTGAAGCTCCGGCAGACTTTTTTGCTTGCCGACAGCCAAAAACTGCCTGAGAAGATTCACCGGTCTGAAGCCCAGCTTGCATGCACTGGAGAGCAGTGAAAGATGAGTGTCTGCACCTCCCTCACCCCCCCGAGCCGGGGTGCAGATGGGCGCGCTGGGAACCCAGCGGCGTTCCTGCGCAGGGACATGCTGGAGCATGGTCACAACTCGTTAGCAAGCTAATCGAACGAGGCGAGCGGCAGCTTGAGGAGCAGGGAGCGGTGACCACGTTCTCAGAGGGGTGATTTGCCTCGCGTCACATCGTCTGGGGTCACAAGCTCCACAGCCAGGTGGGCGCCGGAGCCCCTGGCAGCGTGACACAGAGCACCCCTGGGGTGGTGTTGGCTCCCATGGGCGCTGCGCTTTGGAGATGCTTAGGCTCTGTCTGCTGCGCTGTCTGGATTTAAAAAAACAAAAAACCAAAAACAACCCCCCCAAAAAAAATCCCCCAAACCCCCAAGGCTTGCATAAGCATGTATTTCCCTTCTCTCTCACAACAACAAAAAAACCCCAACCAAAACCAAAAACAACCCCCCCAAAAAAAACCCCCAAACCCCCAAGGCTTGCATAAGCACGTATTTCCTCCTTCTCTCTCGTTTCTCCCCAAGGATGCCTTCTGAGGCTGATTTTAGCCACTGGAGCTAGGAGTGTGGCCACACTGTTCAGCTGAGCTGGGACGTCCCACCAGAGCCTGGGTCCACAGGAGGGACCCTCAGAGGCTGAAAAAGAAGCTGCGGTGTCAGCTGGCAATGTTTTAGAGACTAGAGACTGCATGTAGGAGAGAGGGTGTGAATAGCTGATGTCAACTCACCTTTACAACCCTGTGACCATTTCGGTCGCTTGCTGGCACAGCTGCATCAATGCTCCCTGCACACCGGGCCGGCACCCACCCAAAAATCGGGTTGACTATTGCATGGCTCCAAGAGAGGCTGCAGTTCCTCCAGAGAGGCCATCTCGGGGCCAGACAGTGTGGACACGGGGTACATGCAAGGCTGCGTGCATGCTGGCACGGGAAGGCTGCGCTGGGCAGCGAGGACCACCCCCACGTGAGGGAGAGGAGGTGCAGGATCGTTTAATTTTGAGTTTGTTTTTTTTTTAAAAAAAAAGTAAACATGCAAAACTGGTCAGAGAGCTGCTTGTCTCAAAAACACGCTTCAGAGCCTGTTTTTGCTGGTTGGGGAGCAGGGCTGGAGGTGAAACCTCATCACCCTATGCTGGCAGGGTGCCTGTAGGCACGCCTGGGAAGTATTGAGGGGATCTTAAATGGGGGGGAAAGTAAAGCAAATAAATAGGCAGAAATACTTTGAGGAAGCATCTTCAGGCGCAAGGGGTGAGAAGATGCAGTCAAGAGACTGGGATGGTGAACACGGGCATCCTGAGCCTGCCCGGCAGCATCTCGGGACACGCGCTGCACCCCGGGTGCCTGTCCCCCAGCTCGGGGCCGTACCCTGCCTCTTCCCTGCAGCGGCTCGGGGCTGTGCAGAGCAGCGTGGGAGCCTTGCCTGACTTTCCCCCCGCCTCTCATCTTCACCCTTGCAACTGTACTTCGTGTGCTGGGCGGGGAAATGCTTGTCCGTGACTGTCACTAAGCATTACCATCTTCTCTTTATGCAGTTGCTGGTGAGAAGAGAGTGCCAGTGATGCCCGGATCGCCCGTGGAAGTGAAGATACAGTCCAGGTCTTCTCCTCCCAACATGCCGCCACTGCCCCCTGTGAACCCTGGTGGCCCCCGGCCGGTGTCCTTCACCCCGACTGCACGTAAGACCCCAGTAACACTGCTTTTCCCAGCTCCAGCCAGCAGGACAGGCTCTGCTTGTAGAAGTCACCGGGGATGTCTCAGCCATCGGCCGGGGCTGCTTGCCAGCATGGCGAGCATTAGCTATGCTGCACAGCTGTAAGGAAGGGCGGACTGGGGCTTTCCTGCTGTTCTGCTACGTATGCAGGACATATAACAGGGTCTGTAATCCCCCCTACCCCCCTGCCTGCTCCTACCTTGCTCCCGGTGCTGCCTTGAGTCCTCCTTTTTGCAGGTGCAGCCTTGATTTCTGCCATAAACTCCTTAAGAAATTGAAGTCTTTTATCAGGTCAGCTTCAAACAAGCCAAGAGCTGGGCTTTTCACTGTATCTTTTGGAGGAGTTAATTCCCGCTCTGCTGTATCTCACTTTGCAGACAGCATTTCTGCAGCTGAGATTAGAAAGTTTTCCTTTTTTTAATTTCCTAGCCTCAGAAATTCCTTGCTGTCCATCCAGATTGTCTTTTCTCCATCTTCTCTTTATAATCTTTCCTATTAAGCCATAGTCAATCCTGGTCCTGCCCAGCCGTAGTGCAGCCTCGCACCCACTTCTTGTAGCAGCGTGTTGCTCAGAGGTGACTCCATGGACAGGATGGACATACAGCCTTCTCTTATAGCCTGGAAAGAGTCTTTTTCTTCTCCCTTAGCCAATGTTTAAGCCATTTAATGCCTTCTAAAAAGCATCATTCCAGAGCAAAGCTGCTTTACTTTGTTGGGTATGGAGTTATCTGACCCCCGCACATGCCACGTACATATTTTCGAGGCTCTCCTCACCTCCTTTGCCCCGTGCTGAGCGTCTCCCTAGCTGGTTCTGCGTTGCTTTGCTGTCCACGATGGTGTCTGGGATATCTCACAGTTTCACGCTGGCAGTGGATTTCGGAGATTTACAATCCAGCCTCTTTCAGGACACACACTAATGTATTGTGTGATGCTGGCAATAGCACTAACAGTCGGGTTATCCCGCCAGACACGTTGTCCCCATCTTTATGCGCTGAGGGGTTTTTAATGGTTCTCCTTTTGCTCAGGCAGAAAAAGACCATTAGCAAAGTGACAGAAATTAATTTTTCCAATGAGGTTGCTTGGCACACTGTTAAGGGCCAAGGAGCCTGAATCTGCTGATTGCAGATTACTTAATTGCCTCTTTCCAAGATAGATGAGAGATGCAACCTGCAGTGAAGTTCATTCTTGCTTTTTTACTTCTCAGTTGCACCAAAGGTTCTTGGTCAGAGTCAGCGGGTGTGTGTCCTGCCCTGTAAAAGCCCACGGCTTGGGCAGGCGAGGAGGAGCATGCTGGAGGAGGGCCATACCTGCCTGTGGATCGCTAACAAAAGGGTTGGAAAAGCAGCAAAAGCCTTCGACTATTGAGGACCTAAGGCAGAATTTAACAGAGTAGCCCTAGACGATGACTTTTGTGTTCCCAGGAATTTAGCATCCTCCTCTCCCCAAACCAGTAATCCCACTGGTCTCGGTGCACCACCTCACTTGCTTCAGCACTGTCTCCTCACCTGGAAATAGAGGTCCCAGCCCGGCTCTGTGGTCTGTGGCGGAGCAGATCCTGGCGATGCGCAGGATCAGATAACTGCCAGCCGCCCTGCGGTAATGCCGTTTGCAGAAGGGTCAGGCAGGGTAAGCCTGAAAACACAGAGAGCGGTTACGGGGGCTGCGTCTAACGGCAGCCCCGACCCGACCCAGCTCGCTCTGCTTCCGTGGCATCACCCAAGTCCATCAACGTCTGCCGCTCCCATCCTTGGCAGCCTCTCCCGAGGGTCCCCCGCAGCCCCCTGGCCCCTGGGTGGGTTGCACAGCCCCTGCTTCTCCCGGGGTATAAATAGAGCCCATTGCTCTCCCTAGTCTTTCATTTGAAAGAGTAAGAGGAAGCAAAATAGAGAAGGGGGTAAAGCGCCTCGGTCGCGGCTGCCGGAGAGCGCGGAGCTGCAGCCATTTGCTGTTTGAGAGGAGCTTCTCTGGGTGGCTTTCCCCCCTATTTGTATCACTTTTATTGTGAAATAAATGCTCTTTATGAGTAATTGCCAGAAGCCTTGCCTTTCACATAGCTCTGCGTTTGCTGGTACTTCCGTGGTAGCTAACCCTGTGGGTACGTGCCATCTCTGCAGGACATCTCTGTTCCTTCGCTGCTTTGGGGAAGCTGGTGTGGACAGGAGTTTTTCAGGTTGCGTTGCTCCATAACAAAAGGCATAAGCTCGCTTTGCCTTTGCACCTCCATCCTCTCAATCCTGGCCTTCACCCTCATTTCATCATCTCTCTGTCTACAAAAGGACATGTCTTTGTTATGCCCCCAAAGAGCCTGTCACCCTTTGGTTAGCAGGAACTACCTTTGATGGTCTCTTTAGCCTTATCTTTCCCTTGCATCTTAACTGACTCTGGTTAATCTTCTTGGGTTCCCTCCTGTGCTCACCATGGCAGGTCCAGGTGCATGGAGCCTTTCCAGCCTCTGATCCTGGCGTGCCCCAGAGCGGTTTAACTGTTCAAGTACCTCCTGCCTTCTTCTCCGAAAAACCCTCACTGGGGTCATGAGGATTTGGTACGATCCTCGCGAAGCTGCAGTGGAAATTTTGGCATCTTTTTTTGCAAGTTGCTGCTCCATCACAGCATGCACCTTCCCCTGCCCCGCATGCAAGGGGCAGCTCTGCCAGGTGGCTTCGGTGTTTCTTCACTGAACGCCGTCATTTGAAATGGTTTCTGGCCTTCTCTTCAGCACTTACATCCATAAGGGATTCGGGGCTGGGGCTTTTAAGGATAACCCAGTGGATCAGCTAAAACTATATTTACGACAATGTACTTTTCACCTCTAAAATTCTGGGTTTACACTGAGTTGGGGCCCCAGCGCACAGCTGCTCTTCAGACAGGCCTCTAGATTGCACAACAGCGGCACGGGGATGTCAGCAATTTATTCTAATCCCTTGCTGAGTTCCCAAACTTCCAGCCCTTCAGTCTGTTTCGACATGCTCGCCGCTTACAGGAGGCAAAGTTGCAGATGGGACCAGGTTGGAAAAAACAACTGTGTTTGCGAAACTCCCTGTAAATCCCTGGGGAGGTATGGCGGGTGGGCGGGCGCCGCGGGGCAGGATGCTGTCAGCCCTCCTTGGGGTGAGGTGGAGGCACCTGAGCTGCAGTATCTGCTAGTGGGACCCTGGCTGTAATGAGCACTGATGACTTATTGTAAACGATGGGGCTGGGAAGGATCACTGGATTGTCTGGTGTAATTTTATGCCTGACACAGGCCAGAAAACGCTGATCAGTAATTCTTGCCGAGGGCTGTAAACTTGGAGCTAAAGCACATTCAATTCCTCGGGCTGAGCGTACAGCACAGCTCGGTTTGCTGCAGCAGCGGCTTTATGCAGCCTGACCCTGTGTCTCCCCGGGCTGCCTCAAATGCGAAGAGAAGTGTGCCCGCTCTGCTGAGCCCTAGTTCTGTTGGTGTTTGATAGCCCTGGAGATGAAGCTCGCTGGGCAGAGGAGAGAAATGCCAGGGAAGTCACTGGCTGTGGTGTAAATCACACCTGAGCAATCCCATAAGGAAAACTCCTGCAGATGCCTTGGTTGGGTGCCTGGTTCTCACGTGCTGGGGGCTGCAGAGCATCCCCGCAAGCTCAGGGGAAGGTTGAGGAGAAGGCACACATGTTGCTGGTGGCCGGCTCCATCGCTGGGTGCCCTCCGGCATGGCATGCGGGCTCTGCTCTGGCCATAGCCCCTTTTCTGGTTCTTGCCCTGTTTGCTAGCAGCAGTTAACCAGCAGCAGCAGGCTCTTAGGTGGAAGATGGATCCTCTTAAACACCAGACTGCAGGGACGTGCCCATCTGATGCTCAGTATCGCTTCTGTCTCCCACTTGCAGTGCCCAATGGAATAAATCATTCCCCCCCGACGCTGAATGGGGCACCATCCCCACCCCAGAGGTTTAGCAACGGTCCTTCCTCCTCCTCCTCCTCCTCGCTGACAAACCAGCAGCTCCCGGCCACATGCGGTGCCCGGCAGCTCAGCAAGCTGAAGCGCTTCCTCACTACCCTGCAGCAGTTCGGCAACGACATTTCGCCAGAGATCGGGGAGAAGGTCCGGACCCTCGTCCTGGCGTTAGTGGTAAGCCCCGCACACCGGCCCAGGCCGCCTTGCTTTTGCCAGACCACTTTGGCGATGGGATCCTGGCAGCTGGCGCGTGCCCACGTTACACAGTGTTATCTGTTTGTGTCTTTACAAGCAGAGGTGTTGACTGAGCAAGACTCTGTAATGTTTATGCTTTCTGGTAAACTTGCTGACTTCTTTTTTTCTTGTCTTTGGTGGGTTTCAAAAAGCTGTTTGTCTAGTGGCTTTGACATGAGCTTGTGTGCAGCTAAACTTAAGGAAACCTGGAAGGATTTGGACAAAGTTTTTCTATAAAGGTCACAGGTCTGGTGCCGTGGGCTCGCTGGAAGCCATGGGCTATGCTGGGCTTCTCCGTTTCCTCTCGTAAATGAAACTTTTCACACAATTCAGAGAAGCCTGTAGTTTTGTACTAGGGAAGTGTTTTCTTGCTTGTGCAGATTTATGATTGCCTGATCCCGGCCGCAGATCAGTTTACCTCTGATCTGTTTCCATACAAAGAAATGTCAGTTCCAGCCACCACTTCGTTAGTGCTGTCCTGACTTCAGTGTGCTCAAACTCAACACTGCTTTGCTCAGCAAGGCAGCCAGGTGTAATGGAAAAAGCAGGGTCCTGTTGCTAGCAGGGACGCACTCTGGAAAGCTGGTAGTCCTTCTCTGCTCTTGAGTTTGTAGAGAATATCACGACACTTCAAAGATTTCATTTATTGATATGCAGTGATGTATTTAACGGGCTTTTTTCCTCTTTATGAGCTGCTCCTGCATATCTTAAAACAAGCCCACTGGCACAGCAAAGTTAACTATTGCCAAGGTCTGCGGAGGAGTGGAAGGCTGCTGTTGCAAAATAGGAGGTCTGGGCTTCTGATGTGCTGCTGCTGCTTTGTGTGATTGCATATTTGCATTACCAAAGGCATTGATTCTTCCAGTCATATTCACGCCTGTGACAGTCTGAAGGTGCAGCTACAGGAAAGGGCTTGGTAAATGACTTTTATGCATCTTCTGCCCTTCTTCTGCATTCCCACGCTCAGATTTGCAAGAGCTGGGGTCGGTGGCAGTGCGTGCATGTGCAAACAGTGCGTGTATGCCCTCGTGCCCTTTAGCAGCTATGGACAGCTGAAAACACCCTTCAAAAACCAAATGAACAGGTCTTGCTGCGGAATTGTATCTAATATTTGCAGGTATACAAACTAACTGGTAGAAATGCTGTGCAAGGACAGACCTTGGACTGAGCACAGCACCACGCCGCCTGCCCAGCTGCAGTCCCATGTGGCACCCAGCGCTGCTCCCGAGCTGATCTCTGCTTTTTGGCACGTTTCTTTTGAGGCTCAGCACGCAGCGAAGGTAGCTAGACTGCAGCAGCCTGGAGTATTTCTGCTTCCAAGGCTGGCGTGGGCAGAGCAAACATGAGTCTGTCCATGGTCTCAGGGGCTTTCACAGCGCTTGAGCACGGATGCAAAATGCTGCTGCTGCTGAAGAAGGCAGGCATATATATTTCCATGGGTGTAGGGTAGTACCTTAGCTTACCCTTTTGGAAAGGAAATTATAAGCTGTCCAGGTTCCTCTGACTGTCATTCTCACCACTGATTGCAGTAATTTCTTCAGGGATGAACTTTGTACGTGCAGGTTATCAAATGCTGCTTGTGCCAGGGAGCACCTAGCCTGAACAGCCACAGGGGATGCAAGGTTGGGCCAGGGGAGGACTGCGCTAGTGGGGTGAGCGGCAGGCTGATGGAGACTTTGTGGATGGTGGATAGGTTAGACAAGGTGAGCTGAAAGGGAGGAAGGAGGAGAGGAAGGTGTGCAATTCTGAGCAGCTGGAATTGCCGTCTGGCTCCCCGCAGCCTGCCCTAGGCCACCTGGCCAGGGTGCAGGAGATGCCAGCTGGGTCCTGCTGCCTCCCAAAGCCAGTCTCTGCCTCCCGGCCCTGGAGCTGGGAGGATGCCGGGCCAGGCAGCGCCCGGCTGTGCGCAGTGTTCACCACTCGCCTAGTGCAGCACTTCTACTCCATTGGCCTGAGTCTTTTTGGCTGCGTTAGGCAGGATCCGATGCAAACATTGTCAGTCCTGTAGTGGCAGATGCAGTCTCCCTTCCAGTTCTGTTCGTTTGGAGCCGTTTCCCACGTGTCTAAAAATAAGAACAAATTGTCATTTCGTTTCTTAATTTCTTTTTTCTCAGAACTCAACGGTGACAATCGAGGAATTTCACTGCAAGCTGCAAGAGGCGACGAACTTTCCGCTCCGGCCGTTTGTGATCCCCTTTCTGAAGGTGACAGGGAGCTGGTGGGGCTTGCCGACGCTCCGTGTGCCTCTTGGCAGCGTGTCATTGCTGGGAAAGCTCTCGTTCCAAGCACCACAGTAATTTTGTCAAAGTCCAAGACAGACTGCGCAGACCATAGCGGTGGCCATGTGGGACTGGCTTGCGGAAAGCTAACGTTATAACGAGTGCCACATGTCTGCTTGTATGTTAGGGATAAAGGAGACAAACCAAGCTCCATTCAGCAGCTTCTATCCTATAATCTTATTTGTGAATGTTCAGATCTAGAATGTTTGAAGTGTTGGCATACGGAGCATGTCTGGGGTGGTTAGATGCTGGAAGCACAGAGCGCTTCCCATGACACTTGTTTTTTGGGTGCACCGACGTCAGGCCATCCTCAGCTCTTGAGAAAAGACAGGTAAATCTGACAGTGCAGACACCAGGAGCTGGAGGATCCTGAGTGGGGGCCACAGGCTCTAGGTGTTACTGCTCTGAGGTATTACGTGTGCAGAGCAAACCTTCTGCGAACGGCTGGAAACGCCTGCCCGCAGCCTGCGTAAGCCAGACCCGCGCTTGTTTTCCAGGCCAACCTCCCGCTGCTGCAGAGAGAGCTGCTGCACTGCGCCCGGGCTGCCAAGCAGACGCCCTCCCAGTACCTGGCGCAGCACGAGCACATCCTGCTGAACACAAACACCACGTCCCCCGCTGACTCCTCCGAGCTGCTGATCGAGGTGAACGGGAATGGGAAGAGGCACAGTCCGGACAGGTAAAAACAGCTTTCATCGCTCTGCCAAGTTCTTGAAGTCGCGACTTTTGTTTCAACTTTGCTGCTGTCAAAGCTTCAAGCAGCATCTAGGGCCAAACCGTAGGATCTTATCACTCCCAACAACTATTCTGGCTGTTAATAAGACACCGATGATTGCTCCTCCTGCACTGCGAATTCAGGTTGGGACCATCTTTCAGGCAGGTTCTGTCCCAGGGGGACTTGTTGGGTAGCACTGAAAAGCCTGACCTGGAGAGCTGAGCGGTTCTCCACCTCCCCAGACAGCGAGCGGAGGCACTGTCAGGGCTGGGAAGGATGCGGTTCATTTTCACCACTTTTTATTCCAAGTTAAAAGTTGTTATGTAATTATGTGGAGCATGCCTCAAATTTATAAAAACTGTGAAATTTTAATTTGGTCATGCTCAGAAAGATGAATCACAACACTTGGGCATCTTGAACTTTTTCTTTGACAGGGTCATTTTGTGGATTTGTTCACAAGTTGAGCATGTTTGTTTTAGCTCCCTGCCTTTACCCCCTGGTAAAATCATCGCTGCCCAAACTCTGCTGATTCGAAATCTGCATCTTTCCCTTTCTGAGTAGTTTATGCGGTGCTAACAAGTACCTCTCTCTGCCGGTGTGGTTGCAGAAGGGAAGACAGCAGCTTTGAGAGGGAGCCGCTGCCGACGGAGCCCCCGGCCAAGAGGGTGTGCACCATCAGCCCCGCGCCCCGGCACAGCCCTGCCCTGACAATCCCCCTGATGAACCCCGGGGGGCAGTTCCACCCCACCCCACCGCCCCTCCAGCACTACACCTTGGAAGATATCGCGACCTCCCACCTCTACAGGGACCCCAGCAAGATGGTGGAGCATAGAGAGATTCGGGACAGGCACGGCGGTCTTGGTGAGAAAGCCTGGAGGGCTTTTAGTCGTAGGAGCTGTGAGGTCCAGCAGTTGAGCTTTGGCATTGATCCCTGCTTGGCCACTGGCACCCAAAGCTGTGTAATGCTGGGCACGTCCTCAACAGAGCTTTTGCGGGGAATTCAGAGAAAACAACTGACCATGGGAGGATAAAAAGGGGAAGACTGAGAGTTTGTATTTCTCTATATACATGTAAAGGCTGGAGCCACTGAGGATGAGGAGGAAGGACCCGGTGTGTGAGTTGAGTATAGCCAACACAGCAGGCAAGAATGGAGGGCAGGGAAACAGAAATTAACTTTTCCAAGATCACTAAAGCAGGAGAGCAGAGCCTGACCCCCGCCCCCTTTCTCCCCAGGGGTGTGTGGGAGGTGCACGCTGTGTTTCCAGCAGGGCAGCCTAAATCACAAGCTCTGAGCTCCTGTAGGTTTATAATAAGGGAGCCAGCTCCCCAGGCAGGTCAGATCCAGACCCGTGAGTGGATTGTAGCACCTCTGAGACAGTGACACAGACAAGTATAAAAGCAGCGGCGTGGAATTGCCCCTGTAGAGCCACCTCCTTGAGATGTGTTTTAAAATCCCAGCTAAATGTAGCTGGAAGTACAGCTCTTTATTATTGCTTCGGGGCCGCCTTCCCTCTCCAGCACTGAAAGCGCTCGGTCCATCTAATCACTCTTCTGGCTGTGGTTTGTTGCAGGTTTGAATGGAGGATACCAGGACGAGCTGGTGGACCACCGCTTAACGGAGAGAGAGTGGGCTGACGAGTGGAAGCATCTCGATCACGTAAGGCATGGCAAGAGGTGTGGGAAGCTCTGTGGGACGCAGCAACCCAGTGCTCCGCCTGCTCCAATTTGTTATTTTCTTGTGGTTGACACTATATCCAGGCTTTCCTGGTGGCTTGTAGAGGAACAAGCCACCACAAGAAGGTGGATGGTGGGGAGGGCAGATAGGAGCAGTAGCACTTTCCTGGCAGGCTTTCTCTGCCCGTGGTCAGTAGAAGCCAAAATCACTCTGGACAAAGTGTCTGGAGCTGGGGAGCTTCTCCTGCAGAGCACGGCCCTGTGCTGCCCTGGCTGGCTGAGCGACCAAACCCAGCCTCGTCCCCGCATGGGTCTTTTCTGCCACAGCCCAGGCCAGCACTGTGCCGACAAGCGTGCAGAGGTGCTACGTGCAGCGAGGATGTGGAGTTTACAGAATAAGTAAACCCATCATTTTTTTTTAAAGGCTTTTTTTCCTGGGCTGCCAGCCTTTTGTGGGCCTCAACTAGGTACCAACAGCAAGGCTGGGTACTTCTGGCAGACTTTTTGCAGTCTGTTTTTTTCCCTCTGAGCAAGGCTGCTCATCCAGGCACTTCGCTGGAGCGTTTCCCCCAAAGAGATGGGATTGAAATTCAATTTTGATCACAAATGGAGAGAGACTCTATGCTTGCTTATGCTCTAAAGCTGATGTTTTGGTGGCGGGGAGGGTGGAGTAGAGGCCCCGTAGCTGAATATTTGCAAGTTGGGATGTGGTTATGGAGAGGTGGCACCAGGATCACAGCCAGCCCTTCCATGGACACCCTATTCCCATAGGAAAATGGTTTTTTTTTCACCTCCACCTTTAGAAGCATGGCCCTAAACCTCCTATGGTGACCAAAGCCCCATGGTGCAGGTGTGATCACCTCCCTCCCAGCTGGTGCTGCTCAGCATCACTGCTGCACGTGTGGGTACGGGACCCAATCTTACCTGCCTGTTTGAATACCGCGTCATCCAAAATACTGTGCTCAGAGCCTGTTCCTGTGAAATGACCTCGTGTTTCATCTTCCTGGGATGGTCCCTGTGGTACCTCCAAGGAGAAATTTGGGAGATGGCCTCATGAGCGGGCAGCAAGACTGAAAACGCGTTCCTCCCTGCAGGCACTGAACTGCATCATGGAGATGGTGGAGAAAACCCGGCGCTCAATGGCCGTGCTGCGGCGCTGTCAGGAGGCCGATCGGGAAGAGCTCAACTACTGGAAGAGGCGGTGCAGGGAGACGGCCGAGCCGCGGGAGGGGGGGGGCGGGGGCCTCTCCAGGGCGCACAGCCCCAGCAGCTCCGACTCCATCGGCAGTGGTAAGCGAGGGGTGGGCGTGCTGTGCCAGGACCTTTTTAAGTAGGTGTCTAATTAAGACAAAGCTATATTAGGCATAAAGCGATGATAATATATTCAAATTATAATATAAACTAAATACTTAAGCAGTGCATAACTGTCCTCAAAGCTTTGAAGAGAGAAGAGTTATTGGACATGTGGAAGCTCCTGGGTGAGCTCCTGGAAGTAGCGTTTGCTGACGTCTGAAGGCACCTTTGGGCAGCAGCAGCAGCACCTTCTGCTGGTGCCAGGAGAAGAGCCTCTTCCTTGTCACTGAGCCATACTTGCTGACCAAACCGAGCCAAGTTCATTGAAAGCTGAGAAACCAGAGGGTGAAAAGGCAGGAGAGGTGGTTGGTTCCACCCCTCTTCCCCTTCCAGTCTGCCTTGCCTAAAGGATTTTAAATGTCAAGGTCCACTAATTCTAAAAATACCAAAGACTGCTGTCTGTGTAAGAGCAACTACCTGAGTTATTAGTTCTATTTTTGTATCATGAGTCAACTTAACTTTAATAAAGCTGACTGTTTTTCCCCTCCAGTATGCTGCGGGTTTGACCCTATACAAAAAACAAGTCTAAAATGCTGATTTTATGCATTTGGATGTAATTCTAATTTCCATCCAAACAAATATGCTGCAAATCAAATGCTGGGAAAAAAAAAAACCAAACTGATCATTTGATAATAAAAAATTGATATTTTCTAACAATAAGAATAAATGTCAAACTAAAAATCTCAATTTGATATATATTCAACTTGTTTGTATATAAAATAAAGAGTGAATCCTCCTGCATGTTAAAAAGAACCATCCAAATCAGAGCCCAGCCCAGATTTAGCTGCAATTGAACAAGTTTTGATAGTTCCCAGACAGCAAGAACAAGTATTTCCTGGGATAACAATAACAAGTACACAAGCAGAAGGAACTAAAATAGAAGATACTAATCCCGAGTTTCTCGGAAACCAAGCGCCCGTGGCTCCAGCCGTAACTGCAGAGCAGCGTGCGGCGAGCCTGCGGGGTGGCTGGGCGTGCGTGACGACCTAATGAGCACAGCCAGCTTTCAGCCCTTCTATATTTAAGTATATTGTGACTAATGTACTTACAGCCCCCTGTTAAAGGTGATATAATTTATTTTTTTTTATAAATCGGGAACGTTGTTGATGCTTTCTCCCCTCGTGGGACCTAGGGCTAACTTTCAATCTCCATTGCTGTTGTGAGAAGGTGCGGTTAAACATCAAGAAGCATCCCCAGGTGTGCCGCCTTCCTGGAGCGCTTTGGTTCTCCCACCAGCCTTTCACATGAACCAGTTTTTGTTTTGACCCTTCAGACAGTCACTCTGAAGCCTTAAAAAAAGGGATGCAGGTAGAACTCAGGGCGAGGCTTCTGAAAAGCTTCCCTGGGTGACTGCAGCCTGTGTTCAGGTCCTCGCGTGACCGTCCCCATCTGTCACGTAGGCTCTTCGCAGGCTTACGGGTGCTGGGGAATGTGTATATACACCTCTCGCCGTAAGATGTCTTGCAGGACAGTTTGTCCGTCAGTTCAAGCCTTTGAATTGCCCCTGGGAGTGGGAAGCGCTGCCTTTAATGTAAACTGCTGGTCGTATGGATTGATGCTCAAAGCCGCTGGACAGTGCAGATGTTTGATGGCGTATATTTATAAACATTGCCTGTTGTTATACAGTACCAGGAGAGGGAAATGGGTTATAGAGTGTCATAAATTATGCAAGGCACTAATTAAATGTTATAATTTATCATCTGAGTGTTTGATGAATGGCTTTAACTGTAGGAATCCTCCGCTTTGAGTTTTAGCTGGTTAATGCTACCCTGCCCCACGATGTAGCGAGGTACGGCTGGGCACTTAAGCAGCAGTTGGGTGAGACCAAGCTTTGCCAACCTTTCCCTGTGTCCCTTATTCCAACAGATTCCTTGCGGGAGTTCAGCAGCAGGTCGGGAACGGGCTACGTCACTGAAGAGATATGGAAAAAAGCTGGTAAGTGTTTGCTAGTAACCTCGGCGAGGGATTCTGCCGGATCGGTTGAGGTAAACACAGATGCTGCAGGTTTGCTCTGCAGAAGCAGGAAAAGCCCAGCTGCAGGAACGCCCCAGGATGTGCACATCTGGCTGCCAGTGCCCCCAGCCTGGGTTTTCCAAAGGACTCTGCTCCTTCTGTACGATGCCAGTGGGGATCCCGTGGGGCTGAGCCTGGCCTCGCCGCCCCCAGGAGTGGTCGTGATGCTGGTGCTGACCGTGACCCGCAGGTGTCCCAGCCGCAGGGAACACGCCGCTGCATCTCGACGTCCCTCGGAGGCTTACCCCGCTCCTCGGGCGGGTGGGTGAAGCTGCTTTTTTCTTCCAGAAGAAGCCGTGAATGAGGTGAAGCGCCAGGCCATGTCGGAGGTGCAGAAAGCGGTGGCGGAGGCCGAGCAGAAGGCGTTTGAGATGATTGCCTCCGAGAGGGCTCGGATGGAACAGACCATCGCGGACGCCAAGCGCCAGGCCACTGAGGATGCTTTCTTAGTGATAAATGAACAGGAGGAGTCTACGGAGGTAAGGTGCCAGGGGACATCCTAGGAAGGGGCTTTCAAAGACTCACAAAGTCTCCAGATCCGGCCCGGCAGTGACTCGGAACCTGCAAGTCCCCCATCCCTTTTCCGTTTAGAAGTCTCTCTCCGACCAGTAACTAAAGGGATGCACTGATACCATAAAAAAGACTTTTTGCTTTCAATTTTGCTGGCAGGGGAATCAGCCTAAATGGTGTCTGCGGCACCCGCGTGTGCGCAACAGCCACGTGAAGGCACCACTGGGCACCATGAGCTGGACCCAGTGTAAGGACCAGGGATTTCTTGGGATTGAGGGAGGTGTGGGAGCAAAGGGAAAGGGATGCCGGTGGATGCAACTCTCCGTTTCGCTCAGAAATCCGCTGTTGTGGGGTACCTGATCTGTGCAGAAAAGGAATTGCTGTTTGTGGGCTTTAAAATAGCGGAGAGTAGTAACTAGGCTGCAGGTGAAGCTACATGTACCTGATGGTCTATAGCACACCCTGTGTCGGTGCAGACCAGCCTGGTACATATATATTGTCTTGGATGTTGTTGTTTCACTGGCTCCCGAAACACGGGCCTGGGCAGCGTGTGGTCACCTCATCTCCAGAAACAGGCTCCCCGCGTCTCTTGCCACACCGCTCCCATACGTATGGGGATAGGTGGGAAGCGTCTGTGCGGGGCGGCTGTCCCTGCGTTACGGAAAGCCTCATAACACCCTCATGAGACATTTGCACGTTGGAAAAGAAGGGATGACTCTTAGTTTGTCGTAGCCAGCAACACCTGCTGAATGGGTGTCTCTTAGAGAATTTCGTTCTACTCCTCAATCAATAATTACCTTCACTGTTGCTTAGCTGGAAGCTCACTTCGTTAAGCTTTGGAGATTTCAGCTGGACTGGGCAAGGAGAATTGCATGGCTAATTCCTGCGCCGCCACGTCCCATCCACGTGTGGTTTGCTTCGTGTTGTAATTTCTCTGCACGAATGCAAGAGCAGAGGCTTTGTTTCTGCCGAGCAAAAATCTGATGGGAACATGGAGTTAATGTCCACTGGGACTGTGCGGGCAGCAAGTCCATTTCCCTCCTCCTGAGGGGTTTCTGTCCACCCTGCTGACCGCGGCTCGGGAAGGTCTGGTGCCGGGGTCCCCGTGCACGGCAGGAACCATGTAAATATTAGGTGGTTTTACGGAGAAGTATGTCTATACTATTTCCTGATTAAATCGCTGAAGGATGAACGCACCAGTCAGTAAACACATGATGGGAGTGGGTGGAACTGCTCAGGAAGCCATGGAAGAGATGAGACAAGTAATGATTTCTCCATGGGGGAATACCAGAGGAGTGTCGTCCTCCTCCGGCCGTCCCGGGGAGCAGCGCGGGACCTCGGGAGCAGCCGAGCATCCCCCCGCCAGCACGAGCCCCATCTCCCCAGCACCCAGAGCTCTTCTCTAAAGGCCATGTTGAAAAGCTGTCATGTATTCTGGCACACCGTGTAACCTTTGAAATACGGTTTAAAAACACCACTTGAAGTGTAAACAGCTGTAAAGCAGTGACCCAGTTTTCCAAGAGTTACCGCAGGCTTCGGTGGGGTTTTTTTTTTTTTGATGGCGAGTCCTGCTTCTCTTGGGAGACCGAGGAGCCTCAGGGACACACTGGCTCTGGAGCAGCTCGCTCCCGACCAGCTTGCTTTGGCACTTCGCTGCTAGCCCGTAAATCATCGCTGGGAGCCGGTGGCTCCGGTGCAGACCCTGGGAGCAGGGAATCTCACCGCCCTTCTCAGCAACAGGGCTGTCCAATTCAGGTCAGCATCTCCCACCACCCCGCTTTCCTGCTTCGACAGCTTTTTGCTCGCAGTTGCAGAAGCAGTGGCCAGCGAAAGGTGCCCTGTTAGGCAGGATTAGAGGCAGGCGGGCTCTGGCAGAGGCTGCTTTTCCGCAGCTGAACTTGCCCTCCCCAGTATGCGATTGCTAACGCGCGAGTCCAGCTGCAGGGAAGCTAATCCGCCTGCTCCCCTCCTTGGAGCAGCTGCAGCCGCAGCTCCCGGCGCTGGCCCCTTGCCCCCACACTCATAAGGAAGCGGTGGCACGCCGTAAGCCCACCAGCTGACGCCTCTCCCAGCGGCCAGAGGGGCTTTGCTCCACTTCCAGATTGAAGCTCGGGCTCTGGCAGTGCTTCCACCTGGCTGGGAGGCTTTCAAATGAGCTTTTTCTTTTCCAAATTAGCCTGCTCTGACCTCTTGTGCAGCTAGGCAGGGTACAAAGCAAATGGTGCCTGTGCAGCACGCTGTAATCCCTGCAGAGAGCACTTGGCTGGGAGCGATACCAAAATAGAGCTGCTTAAAACAGGAAGTAAAAAGACCAAATAGCAGCATCTGCAGTGTGTTTTTTAGTCCTTGCCTGCTGTTTCCTCTATGCATTTGGGTGGATCTAGGGGAGAGGATGTGACCGGTGCAGTCTGGCAGGCAGTTTTGGGCAGAGCAGAGGAGTAGGGGTTAGTACCCTTGGCAAAGGGCTGTGAAATAGCAGGAATTATTAATATTACTAAATCTAGGCCAGAGGGGGATGAACAGTCCCCTCCAGAGCTGTTGAGTCAGCACCATCCTGCAGCTCTTGGAAGCTAAACCCGTTTTAAAGTGTGGCGTCTTTGGTCTTGCAGAGTTGCTGGAACTGCGGTCGCAAAGCCAGCGAGACGTGCAGCGGCTGCAACATCGCCCGGTACTGCGGCTCCTTCTGCCAGCACAAGGACTGGGAGAGGCACCACCGAATCTGCGGCCAAGGCCTGCACGGCCAGAGCAAGCCGCTGGCTCTGCCCACGGGCCGATCGGCAGCCGCCGCCAAGAGCCTTGATGGCGTGCCCAGCCCGGCCCTCGAGAAGACTTCGGCGACCACCTCCCGATCCTCCACCCCAGCATCCGTGACAGCAATAGACACGAACGGGCTCTAAAGGGGAAGTTTTGGTTCGGCCCATTTGATTAGCTTCTCTGGGTTTTTTTTTTAAGCCGAGAAAACCCCACAGCAACTTGTATCACTTGACACATTTGACACATCGCGTCACCTCCTCGGAGCGCTGACGCTCGGGCTTTGCCATCTCATTCTGCCTTTTTTCTTTTGTGGCTCGTGAAGAACTGTGGCCGGCCTTGCCCGTGGTGCCTCCGTGCCCCTCTCTCTGCAGGGGGGTACCAGAGCATCATTCGGGACCTGGAGGAGGCCGGGCACTCGCTCGGGGGGACCTGGACTCGGTGGAGAGCACTGCCGGCACACACGAGAGATGCTGAGCCCCGTCCTCACGGGTCAAACGTGCTCAAGCTCCTTTCCTGAGGTGTCTGAGCCACCGCCTCCTTCAGCTACCTTTCTTCCATAATATGCATCTATTTTTTTTCCTTGCTCCCAGACAGTGGTGTCTCAGATGGCCGTGCTGGCCGGTTGTTGCTGTGAACAGACCGGAGCCGATTTCCCAGCAGGAGCATCTCGTCCTCTAGTGCAATGGCAAAAGCCGAGCCCTCTTCTCTTCTCCTGCCTGCAGGTTGGCAGCTGGTGACTGCAGAGAGGGAGGAGAGGATTCGTCTGCTCTAAACCAAATGTCAGTACCAGGGAAGTACGGACGGCCGCTTCTGGGTGGCCTGGTTTTAATCCCGTTCTGTGACGGGACAGCTAGTTGTGTGTTACCCCGGGTGGGACCTTTCCTGGGGGAAGGTGCAGAGCGAATCTGGATTGGTTGCGGGCGGTTATTGCCCTTTCCACCTGGGTACCGTTATTTTGCTATGCAGAAAGCGGTTTTTTTTTTCACTGCATGGAAGTTGTTGGTTTGAGAGTTACTGCCGTTGTTTTTAACCACAGAGATCCTCACGCGATTGCGATGGGTTATTTATAGTCTGTTCTCTCCGTGTGCATTGGCCAAACTGTTAAAGTGAATGCAGGACTTGGTGTCCTACATTGGTTCTTACGCCCCAGCCCCGGGGGGCTCCTGCGGTGCTGCTCCGACGCCGGCTGCGCTCCTCTCCCCAGAGATGCCCAGGGGTGCGCAGCCACCACCGCCTCGTCGGGCCTTCGGAGACCGTCCCGGGCCCGCAGGCTCAGAGAGCGAGGTCCCACGGGGACGCCAGGGTCAGCCTGGGGAGCCCCATCGCTCGGAGAGTCCCTGCTGTGGCGTGGAAGGAGGGATTCAGGGCAGTGCAAACCCTATAATCGACACCGACCCACAGAAGGGCTGTTTCGGGGTGCAGCGGGGCTCATCTTGGATGCTTGGTGGAGGTCATCAGAGGCGCAGCCCGGGGGAGGGATGGGCACGTGCCCTCTGGGGAGCCGCACCGATTTCCCACGCTGCACACAAATGGGCTCTAGAAAACCATCTATTCAGCAAAGCCGTGTTTCCGTGACTGTTTCTGTGCGATTGCTGGGCTGGAGCCCAATGAGGCGAGTAATTCCCAAATTATTTTTGATCACTTTTTCAATTGGAGGCGAATAATAGAGATGTAATGAATCGTCATTGATTTTGCAGTGCTGTAGTGGCTGCTGGCTGCCCGGGGATAAACGAGCGACCCACTGAACCAGCTTTGTCCCTTAGGGAAAGCTGTTTCGGAAGCTGCTGTCGTGGGATAGAGCGGGCGATTCCTGTGTCTGCAAGGTTTTATTATGCAAAAAAAGCCACCAAGTCGCCTGGTGTTCAACATGGCTCTCGAGTGGAAGTTGAGGGCGCC